AGATCATGCAAATATGCCCTTCTGGCATGATATCCTTGATATGATTTGTCTGATTGCATCCAAGCACGGCACATTAATGTGTTGTAACTATGGTTACAATTGTGTAAGCACGATTCTTAGACCGCTGACACACGTAATGTTTAAGAGATTGCTGAAAAGTATTTTGGCAATAAACATGTTATCTCCGTCTTCAGGTTCCTACACAGTTGGGCCCACTAGATAGAGCTAATCCCTATCTCCGAAACGTCGTTTTACGTTTTATATTTTACTAGACGATGGATAATATCCAAGGAAATTTTTATTCAAATGTTAACGTTCGAATAAATAGAAACATATATTTTCCGAATCCAGATTTAACAGGAAGGTTATTTAGGTAGCGAAATCATATTTCAGATGTTTGTAATTGTATTTTCAAGAAAATCTAATTACTTTGTAGGCCTGTAATGTTTTATGTACGCACGATTGAACCGTGACATATTTTCTGATTCTTCTTAGCCGAGACCGAGTCTTTGTGTGATTACGTCTTAGTTACATGTTAGTTAATGAATGCCATAAATCGTAGGTATGTTGATAGTATAAACACAATTATTACTTCATCATATAGCCTGCGTATAACTCTAGACTATTCGGATTTGTTCGTCCTCAATTTAAAAATAAACAAAATCTATTTAGTGAAAAACAAAGACGATTGTTAGGGTTACTGTTAAAAGTTGAAGATTGCTGTCTTCTGGGTTGTTGCGCCGTGCAATCTGGTAGATGTTCATTAACGTTTCAGAGGTCCATGCTGACTCCATCATCAGGGCGATGCTCACGGCGGAACAACTCTACAGACTGTCCGCCGTGAAAATCTCAAATCCTCCTGCTTGAAAGTTGCAATTAGTCTAAGTTACGCCAGCAGCTTAATTGTAGGAACACTAATGTTATGTAATACAGAGTAGTTTACAGAACTTACACTGAGGTTTCCTGAAATGACTAGCAAATTACGTATCTCCAAAGGGGTTTCTTACGAAGAAACTATGTGGCCTACCAGAAAATTAATAGATGTTCTATTATTTCCTCGTTTCTAAACAGGAAGCTTTTGAAAATGAAAAGTTTATATACACAACATTGTTTACGTTAGCGAAGTCTGGCGCAGTAGGGCTTTATGCAAAAATTGGCATTCATGCTGCTATTTTAGTACGAGTCTACGGAACCGAAATCCGATGCTTAATAATGGACAGATATGCTACGACAAACTGACAGTCACAGTCGATTAGTCTGTATCAATTTCTTATAACTTTTATTAATTCTATTACAATAAATCTCAATAATTATAATTGATTCACAAATCTGGAGAATGCCAATAAATTAGTGCGAAATATTAGCCACGAGCTTTTGTAAAGGGATTTAGTTCTGTCCATTCATTATTTCTTCTTCGTCACACTTAATTTAATCGTTTAATCGTTAACGTTTGGTAATAAAAAATAAGTAATTTCGTTAAAACTTTATCGCCTGCTATAACTTAGTAATTCCTTTCTGCAGCACCACATAATCCTTCCAATAACTTGATCCTTTGTAATGACACAGAAAGGACTGACGACGATGTTGTTCTGGGTAGTAATGCCATGTGTACTCGTAGGTAGACACCAAAGTTTCGGTAATCATACTGCCTCCATCTTCAGGGCTGAAGCTTCAGAAGAACAATATGTCATCTTCACTGTCGCGAGAACTTACAATATAAAATACAATAAGGATATTTGTATACTGTGCTGTCGGCAGGGAACGGACTTTCACTAAGCGTGATCACTGCTTCCGTTGCCGCGTTACCTAGATCTGGCGGCACAGCGAAGTAATGCCCTTACTCTGTAACGTTCTCATGAGTATGATACAGACATTACAGAAGGACTGCCAGATAGTTATTTTTAGATTGTTTTGTTGAAAAGAGTATTTCAGTTGTTCGCGAAGCAGAATACTTGTGAACCTATCAGTAGCACAGCTAGTCATAATGAATGTATGGTTCAGCCATTACAAACATGGCGACGATGAAGAACCTTGATGTTCTATCCTGTATATTTAGTGAAGACAGACTCTGCACTTATGTAAGTTTAATACCCTGAATCATTTCCAAAAACAAATCAAGCCAACATATGAGTTAAGTTATACATTAAAATGTTAGATTATAAAATTATATTACCTAAATTTATGATTAACAACGTAGATTTGTAGTATAGAACCTGTACAATTTTGTATGAGTTCTATTTATAACTCCTTGTTCTTTTCTTAAGCTTATTGTACAAGCAATAATCTTCTCTCGTGCAAAGTAAGCAGTATTTTTTTTTGCAAATGGCTGTACTAGTAGTATTAATACTGCTAGACATACAAGCATTAGTTTTCTTTTAAATATGGCTGTACAGGCAGCTCTGATTACGCAAGGCTACATGAACAATAACTCAAAGTCGTACAGGTGGGGAAGGTGCGTTGAAGCAGGTTTGCTCCTGCTTCTGTAGGTCATTCATTGTCGCGCAGGCGGTGAGAGACAGCACGATGAAACTGTTCGAAGAGATGCCGGTACCTCCATTACTTTACGAATAAAACAAACTTTCACTATGAGGGGAAGATCAGTTAAAATTAAGATGACTATCTTCTCGGATATTGCGCCTTGTAGTCTGGTAGAAGTTTACCGACGTTTCTGGGATGCTTTGCTGCATTCATACTTAAAATTAGGTTTAAAATATCAGTGTTTGTAGATATAGACTAGATTAATATGCTCAGAATAGGGACCAGTTAGAGGCTTTTGTCAGTATGGTAATGAACCGTAGCGAGAATTTTTTGACTAGCTGAGCGACTGTTAGCTTCCGAAGAATGACTCAACTGTATGGAATTAGTTCCAGGAATTAAACTGAGGCAGAAAGTGTAAGTTTCATACTGAGAAGTCGAGAGTAAATCAGTAAGGTTAAACGAGATTGGGGAAGCAGCTTGTAGAAATGTGAAGGCTCCTGACAAGAAATTTGGAAACAGATCAACACCGAGAAGTACGTCCTTACAAAATGTTGGCGGTACAGGGAAATACCACATCCAGTGAATGGTGCTGATGTAGATGGAATTAATTGCCTTGCAAAGGGAATTAATCTGACGTATGATATTAATTGTAGCTTTCATCTGTAGTTATCTGTGAAAACATAACAAAGTCTCAAGAAATTCTGGAAATAAATAAAAGGTTAAATATAAAAAATAAAAGTTGGTATAAGTAATAAGAGAAGTCAGTGCACCCGATGATCATAGACATTTCGACAAATAATCTTCTTTAATGTTGAAATAATGATCTGAGGAATTAATAACCAGATTACAAGATATTTAAGTAATATATGAAATAACTACGTGTTTTGTGTCCAATAAAATGCAATTTAAAATGGCGTAACAGTTTATTCATTTTTGGACAGCTGTTCTAACAGTTTCAACTCATTTTGTATTTTAAAACAACAACAATATTTTCGAGTTGTTCTGAAAAGGATTGCCTCAAAATATATTCCATCTTGGTACAATATTACTTGATTTAGAGCATTACAAATTAGGGCCCCACTCATTTTTCTTTGCCTAAAGAAATTCTAGTCATAAAATTTTCCAGTTACTGTTTGTGTCCTTTAAAATGTTACTTTCGTGATTCATATGTTTTTAAAACAAACGAATCTTTTTCTCGTTTTGAACACTACGGAGCGAACGATTTTATAATACAGCACAATTATTACTTCCTCATACTGAAAATATTTTACTGCACGGTGTAAATCTTGCACAGAACTGTAGGCACGTACTGTAATCTTGTTCTCGCCTGTACAGAAACACACCGGGCCAGAACGGACTGCATTTCGATCAATAACGAGAGCAGGCCCGCCCAAACCTGGGCGAGGATGGGGAAGACCATGGCTGCCTTCCTTCCCAGTCCCTGCCACAAAGCGTGTTTAGCTTAGCGGCACATAATTTCACTCCAGTGAACCTTTAAAGTTCAATGCATTTGGTGAGAGGTTCCTACATTTCGTTTTCCTTCGCGAAATTTCAAATTTCCACTGCGACGATTAAGATAACTTTTCTGGGATTTTGTACCGCGTAGTCTGATAGATTTTAACCGCCATCTCAGATGAGCTTAATCCCTCCATGATAACCAAAATGATAGAAGAAGTAAGCTCCTCTGAAACGTCGTGATGAGGGAGGAAGTGAGCTGCTCTTAAACGTCCCAGAAGACAGACATTTTACTTTCCTTATTTCTTTGTCTATTCTCTCCTTCCTTCGTTTCAGCTTGATTTATGTATTCCAATTTTCTGTTTTTCTTAATATCTTTAATTGTTTTATATATTTTTTCTTTGTCTTAATTTTCACTCTCTCCGCCCGATTAACTAAGGAACCAGCTATCAAATTAACCGGTACAGGATATTTTGTAATCACTTTATTGTCTTTCTGTCGTTTAAGAAGATCCTGATGTTATGGAACCCGACGGTTCATTAGATGTAGATGTTTACCAACGTTTCAGAGGTTGTTTCTGCCTCCATCATCAGGGCGACGAGTTGTGCCAGACTACACG